TCTCTCTCCCTCTCTCTCTCTGTCTGTCTCTCTCTCTGTCTCTCTCTCTATTTCTCTCTCTCTCTTTACCTACCTACCTACCTCCCTCTCAGCTGTCATCTTTAAAAAATACAGCCATTGCAGTTTTTTAAATTTTACAAGAGAGCTAAAAAAAACTGAACGTTGCCAATAAAACATTTGCTTTAAAGATAATAAGGAAGTCATTATCAAAATTGTGTTCTTAAAAATACTGGCTTTTGATGTTTGCAAACAGTTTGTTTTCTTGGTAACAATATTCAAGGGTTCTTTTAAGCTCATCTGTAAAATTGTAAAAAGTGCATATACTATATTAAATTTCTAAAATGATGGCAGCTCTCTTTCCCTCTCTCCCTCATTCCCTCCCTGTTCATACACAGGTATGAACATACGTACATTTATACCTACCTACTGATCGACCTACCTACTTACCTTCCGACCGACCAATCTCGATACATGTACGAGTGTGTTCCCTCCAGCAGCTCTCTCTTGTCCCTCCCTGTACATACATACATACATACATACCTACGTACCGACCGGCCTACCTACCTACTGACCATTTTACCTACTAACCGATCGACCTACCGTCTTACTTACCTACCTACCTACCTACCTACCGACCTCGATATATGTGAGTGCGTTCCCTGCAGCTGCTCTCTTTCCCTCTCTCTTTCCTTCCCTCCCTGTACATACTTACATACCTACGTATACCTACCTACTGACCAACTTACCTACTGACCGATCAACCTACTGTCCTACCTATCTACCAACCAACTGACCGACTCAGATATGTGGGTGGTTGACAGGTGGTCTGGTGTGGTTTGCTCCTTCTTTCCTTTGGAACATCTATCGTCTTCATCTCCCTTCCTTAGTTTTTGTGTACGTTATTCTCTTGTAACACCTCTAATCTTCTGCACTTATATGACCTTATTGTGTTGCAAGTGCCGTAAAACACTTACTAAAACCAAAACGACCCAGACATACAGGTGCTCAGGTGTGGTTTGCTTCTTCTTTCCTATCAAACATCTATCGTCCTTATCTCCCCTCCTTCTTGTTTATGTTTTGTTGCTCTCTTGTAACACCTCTAATCTTCTGGCGCTCATACGACCTTATGCAGTTGCGAGGGCCGTAAAACCTCTACTAAAACAAAGACATACATGTGAGTGTGCTCCCTCCCTCTGACAGACAACAGTGGGCACTGACCGGGATGGGCGATGTCCTGGAGCAGGTGTCGGCAGTGTCCGAGCAGATGTTGCTGCACGGTCTCAACAAAGAGGAGCTGCTCCTCCTTCAAGCTACAGTATTAGTTAATGCAGGTGGGTCTTTAAACTCTAATGTCGCTTGTTTTGTTGTTGCTTTTAAATTTTCTGTTGTTTCTTAAATTAGAATTTGTTTTTCTTTCTTTTTAAACTTTAGTTCATGGAGGTGGATGTTCAAACTGCTTTTTTTGGTTTGTTTTTTAAATGTTCTAAAATAATTAAATAATGCAGTTGGATGTCAAATCTGTGCTATTTGGGTTTTTGTTTTCCCAGGAAAGGGGGGTTCTTTTTTCTTTTTTAAAAATAATCAATGCAGATGGATATTCAAATTGTGTTGGATTTTTTTTTTTTTTTTTTGGGGGGGGGGGGTGCATATTTTCTCTTGGCTTTTTTTCTTTCCTTTCTGAAGTTATTGGTTTTGTTTTTTAAAAATTAGATTCACTGTGCATTGAAACCAAATCCTTTGCTGTTAATGTGTCTGTGTATTTATTCCCCCCTGCCCCCAACACCATCACCACAACACACACACACATGTGTAATCTAAATGTTAATACCGTCCCCTTCAAAAGCAGGTGCTTTACTCCCTTTGACCCTGATTTTTTACAGCTTGAGTGAAAAGAAAGTAAAAGTTCCTCATTCTTCTTGAGACATCAACGATGTTTTATGCATTTCTCTCTCTGAATATATTCATACGGTACAAAATTTGATATTGGCTGAGGGCGTTGATATTCTAGAGCTAATTGAGACCCACATTTTAGCAATGTGGTTCTCATTTTGATGCTACAACTTAATATTCTTGTGAGGGTAGAAATGTATGGAGATCTCAGACAAAATTCAGTTTTGTCTTTTATGTAATTTAAGACATCCCTAGGAGACATGGAAATCTGTCTTTTCTTGAATGAGAATTCTCTAGTCTATGCAGCGATGCCATACTTCTATTATAATGTTGAATTGTTTTGTCAATATACTCAATTTAAGTGTATTGATAGTGTCTCTTCTTGAATCTGTTCCTAGTTGTTGAAATGGCTACAGTGAGATATACCGGAGTGTTGAGCAGCCTAAATTAGATTTATAGACTTCACAGGGAAGTTTGTTGTTTTTTAAGAATCTTTTTACCTGCCCCCAACTCTAAATGTAACAAAATGTGTGTTTTGTGTACGAACTCTTCTGCAGAGGTCCGTCCCTTGGACAGTTTCCTGAAAATCCAAGAGATGCGTCAGTTAATCCTGGATGTGTTCATGGAGGTGGCCGGTCGGCACCAGGGCTTCGGCAACTGGCGCCACGCGCCCTCCATCCTGCTCCTGCTGACTCACATCCGGCAGGCGGGCGAGCGGGGCATCACCTACTTCCAGAAACTCAAGATGGAGGGCTGCGTGACCTTCTGCGACCTCCTCACCGAGATGCTGGACGCGCACAATTCCTCGGGCGAGCGGCGGCGGCTGCAGCAGCAACAGCACCCCCAGCAACAGCAACAGCCGCCGGCCCACCACCACCACCACCACCACCAGCAGCCGCCACCGCCGCAACAGCAGCAGCAGCAGCAACAGCCACCGCCCCCGCCACCACCGCCCCAGCACCAACAGCAACAGCACCCATCCCAGCACCAGAGCCACCACCCCCACCCGGGACACCCCCAGCAGACTCTGCCTGAATGATGATAGCTGGCCTGCTAGATGACTTTATACATTACATAACTACTACATACGTACATACTTACAGCTTTGAGGAACGCAAGACTGGCTGGCTGGCTGGGAGCTCTGAACATACTCAAAATGTGGCTAAGCGAGAGAGAGAGGGGGGGGGGAAGGGAGCTGTTCTGACAGACAACTGCAGATTCATCCTGATGAGGGAGTGCGAGAGCTGGGAATTTGCTGCTGAATTGTGTGAGTGATGCTGATAGTTCCAGTGCGCCCAGTGTGAATGCGTCTTGCAACCAAAGGAGTAAGCCGCACTGCTGCAGAAATCGTCACGCTTCTCGTGTGTGTGAGGGTTTTGGGTTTTGTTGGCTCTTAGAATTTTGGGAGTACAAAGTTATAGTAAGCGCACACCCTCTCCCTCTTCCCCCCCCCTCCCCCAATGCATGTGCTTACCAAAAGGGCTTAGTGTAAAAGAATCATTAGTATATTGGGACATGCAGCCTATGTCTTCACTGTCACTGCTTAAGATACAGTGTTGAGCAGTTTAGCACTGTGCTATGTATTCAGCTGCTGCAAGTGGGCTGGCTCGCTCATGATGTAGTGCTGCCTCTTGTGCTGCACTCTCAGTGTCACTGAGTCTATAGTTTAGTGCTTGGCCCTGTGCCTAGTGTTCACCACCACTGTATTTCTAGCACGGTTGTGAAGTACTGTGTTATATGTCCAGTGTGGATGTGCTATTAACTAACATAGTGCTTAGTACTAGTCTATGCAGTGCCACTGGCCACCGTGCTAGGTTAGCCCATACGAGGACTTTATTGTCCCCTAGGCCTGTTCAGGCTTCCCGTAACGGTGAAGTAACCCCACCCCCATCCCCTCTCCACTTTCCCTCCTGACCATTGCCTTCCACGCATGACATGCGTGCCGTTTTCTGGCACAGCTCATTCATCAGTGTCACTGGCTTTCAGAATAATACCTTGTGGCTTTGTTGATTGTATTTCTTACCCAAGTGGTGTGTGTGTGTCTAATAAGACCAGTGGTTCTTGTTGCCTTCAACTAGTGTTGTTGTTCCAGTCTCTGGACTTTCTCGGTGACATTACACTCTCCAGTGTATATATTTATGGTGAGATAGATATATTTAAACATGTATATGTATATATATATATCTCCAAAGTCAGAAATAGAAACTGTTCCATCTGGTGTGCCTGCCACTCAAGCTGCAATATATCCACGGCTGCCCCCCCCCTCCCCCTCCCGCACAGCCCCTCCCCCTTCCCCTGGACCGTCACCCGTGAGGCTGTGTAACAAGCGTGTGATTCACCCACCAGCCAGGAATCGGGAGAATGAACCTACAGTTTTCTGACCAGAAACAAGAACAATAACAACATCAACAACAACAAGACAAACTACGTCAGCAGAGATTATGTTTTGTTTCAGAGACAACAATGGCTCCATGGAGTGCTGTCTGTCTCTCCCTCTCACAGCTGTAGCTTAGCCGAGCGGTTCTGAACATTTTTAACTATGTCCTATTTACCAATGTGAAAGAATTACACCGATTGGAGAGAGGTTTCCCCAACTGTGATCTATGTCTGCTTCCTCCTGGCCAGGAGCTAAAGATGTTATCTATAGAAACAGGAGGAGTTGCAGGCTGTCTATGGAGTGGCACTGTTTTCCAAGCCTACTACTACTACATCTAATAATAATAATAATAATAATACTTCTTGTACTACTAAATCTGTTGTATTCTGTGAGGAAGCGCACTGGCATTTCATACTGGTGACCTTTTGTGTGTACTACTCCGTGTTGCGCTTCTTTGTTGTACTGTTGTTTTTACATACATATTATAAATATTATATATAAATATATATACATACGTTATACTGTTGTTGCAATTTTATTGATTTTTAGCAATTTTTACTTGGTCTATTTTTGCTATTGTATCATCAATAATTGTACATGTTTCTGAGCTTTGCTGTCATGATTGGAAACTGAACGGAGAATTTACGAGGGGAGGGGGGTGCTAATGGTGCCTAGTATATTATGAAAACAACAGGTTGTAAGGGGTGTGGTGGGTGAAATTTACCCTGATTCTGTTTACATTTTGGTCAGTCAGTAGCCATTTGTGGGGGAAAGATGTTGCTGAAAAAAAGTGTCTTTTGGTAGGCAGGAAACTTAAGGGCAAAACTGTGTGCTGTATTATTCAGAATAATCTTTGTATTTATAGTGGATATTTAGAGAGGAATATATGGATAGATGTAGGTGACGTTTTGTTTGAATTTGATTATATTTTCTAACTTTCCTTACAACCCAGCCAGCACATTTCTGCAGCTTAATGTACAACTCTGCCATACGCCATTTAAAAAAGTGATGTCGTATGACAGAGTGTTACACTGAGCCGTCAGTGTGTACTTTGTCAGCATTCACATAAAGAGGGCCAGAGAACCTATGCAAATCTGCCTGCTTTTGTGTCATTTCATAGATGCTACTTAAATCCAGTGCCTAAGGTGGGCTGGCAAAAATCTTTGTATAAGGTTACAACTTTGTGCTGTCCAAAGGAAGACCGGTTAAAAGTTGGGAGAGCGAGGTTGGACAGTCATAAGGGGCAATTTAAGAACTGCCTTTAGCACAACTTTTGAGGAATGCAAATGATTTTAAATTAGTACAGTTGCTACCTAAAGTGAATAATATTGGAAACTATTGCTATTTCACCAAGCATGGTCAAACCTGTCGTAAGTAAAAAATTTGGGATAATCTGGAATGGTACTAGTGGTTCCTTTTTTTTTTTTACTGTTTTGGAAATGTCTAGAAGTAGGCTAGACTTCTTGTTACATGAATGTTTAGGTTTGTGGAGAAGGAAGACTTCGAAACATTTAAGAAGAGAAAGCAGTTCCTTTGTGGCTACATTTTATGAGAATCTTAAATTTATTACTCTTTTGTGATAGATAGGATAGGTGCTGTCTACTCAGAAACCTGTTCTGCTCCGCTGTTGATTTGGATTAAGTCAACTTGACATTTCTAGTTTTAAAAGTTGAATTTTTTTTAAAATGTAATATACACATTTCTTCCATTTTGTTCCCAACATGCCAGCATTGAATCGGACACAATGAGATTCTGAATGACGGAAGTTCATCATTTTGTTGTGTGGTGTTTCAGTTTTTTGGGTTTTTTTAAATGTACAATACAAAGATGATGACTGACTACATTGCTAAGGAGATTGTTGCCACAATTGTTAACTCAAACTGTTTGTTGCAAGCGTTACCAGTGGTTTCTATGATATCTTACCAGTGATTATGTTTCAGCTTGTTGCATTGTTTTTTATGTTGTTTTCTCCTCCCTTTATTTCTATACTCATTCTAGCAGATGTTTTTATTAATTTTTTTTCCCCCTAATATTTTTCATGTATGTGAACATGTACACAGGTTGGGACAGCACATATAATATTGACTTTGTCCGGTGACCTTCAGTAACATTTCCCTTCCTCCCTCTTCTCTCCCCCCCCTCAACCACTCGGTCCCCATGCTTTACTACATCAAGCCTCCCCACTGCCACACAATGAAGCAGCTCTTTTCCAAAATGCTAAAAGATCCAACATTACCATCTTTTGTTAACCTTTTGTGTCCTCGGAAGATACATCACTGCTGGGACTAGGTTCTTGTCTATTCTAAACTGCATTATTTGAACATTATTGGATATATTCTTTTAAGCACAAGATTTTCTCATTCGGAATTGTGTTCAGACTGGTACTGCCATAAACTTAGTTTAATCAAGTCCACCGTGCATTTTGGAGAATGAGAAAATGTATTCGGAAAGTGTGAATCACTCTGGAGTGAAAGTAGTTTGATTTTAAAGGAGTTCAGCCTTAAGTTGTTTTAATGTCTCAATGCTGCTTTTTGCATGAAAAAGGCAATGAGGGTCCCAATGCTCTTCAAGATTATTATAATCATGGAATCAGAAGTTGAGAATAGATGTAGTTGATTCAAAATTGGACCTGCTAGTGTTGAACTAATTCTTCAGACATGTCTCACCATTACTAATAATAGCTTGTCAGGTTGACCCTGAGTGAACGGTTCATATTTTGGAAGAGAGCTCTTCAGCAAGGGTGTCCCTGATAGGAGTGTTTGGTTCTGTCGACTTGTGCTTGCCCTGTGAAATCCTGGTCTTCCCGTTCTCCATCTGTAGAAGCTGCCTCTCTCACAGCGTTGGGCTTGGGTCTCTAGTCGTGCGATAATACTACACCACCACCACCCACCTTTCCCCACCCCAAACTCATTTTAGCTTATTGTATGCATCGTATAGTGATAGCAGCTGTTGGTTGCTAGGCACTCCGGTGTGGTCTGCTTCATCTTTTTCACGTTACTGTTTCTATTATCATACTCTGTCCCAGCAGCATGTAGAGGCTATTGTGCCGACTCGTGTCTTGTGGACCGTTAAGAACCCAGTGATAGATAGCTGCTTCATGCCCTCTGGTTTCGTATCAGCTGTGTTACCAAAAGTCTTGCAACAATCAACATCCTTTAGAGTATCTATGTGTCATCTGTTCCCTTTTCCTAGCAAGTACAGGGTGATTGTTGTCAGTGAACGAGATTCGTAGGTTTTATCTCCTTGCACTCCTGTCGATGTGCACATATTTGACTGTTTAGTCATCTGAAGTTTACTGGAGGTGCAGGTGTGACCTGCTCTTCCAAGATAGGAAAACAATTTGAACCATTGTTTTATTTCGCTGTTAAAATCTGAACCTGGTAATTTTATGTTTTGTGGTGGAAGGGTATAACTAGTTCCTTAAGAAGTGATTTCTTTGGAGAGGTTGCGACCTGTTTAATTGACATTTTAAAGTCAAATCGTTCACTGAACTACTGTTTCATCATTATT